AGAATTGAAGAGAGATGAATATCAGTTCATCTACTGATGCGAAAAATTATTCGTTGAAAATTTTTATTTAAGTCTCATGAATATCATATGATTTCTTTCGCGCAAATACTGTCATATATATATATATATATCTTGAAAGTAAGAGAGAATACGATGGTAATGTTGTAAAGATGCAATTAATTGAAATAATTTTCAGATGAAGTAGAAGAAGGTTAAATGATTACTATTGTGTTTGTGTTAAATTAAAATTTGATTAATTAAAAAATGAAATAATTAGTGTTTTTATTAAATATGTAATATTATATTTTAATTATGCTTAATTAGGTCATTTTTCTAATCTTTTGGTATACAAAAATTTAGTTAGAATTGAACAAAACTAAAACAAAAGTAGTAGAGAATAATAAAAGAAGTAAAGGGAATCTTCAAATTTCACAAAAAATTTTTCACTAAATAAAACAATGAATCATCCTTCTTTCCCCTAAAAATAAAGGAAGTTAATTACGTTTATAACTACGTGTAAAATTATTTTATACTACGTGTTAGCTACGTGTAAAATTATTTTATAAGCTATAATAACAATAATTAAAGCGATAAATTGATAAATGACGCATTAAGCAAATATTTTTATTAATTACGACATAATCGTAGATAGAAAAGATTTGAAGGAAGCATTGTCGAATATTGTAAGAGTTTTGAAAATGATTAATAAAAATAATAAACTTTTAGAAAATTAAATTACAAAAATTTTAAAACAATAAAATGTAATAAATTAAGGTATAACTAATTAAGATTTCGATTAATTTCACTTAATAATAAAGAAAATATAAAATGAGAAATATTGACTTACCTTGCTACGTAATGTAATAAAATATAAAAAATTAGAAACATACCAAAACAAATTCCACGTCTTCTTTTTCGAGACTTTTAAAATCATCCAAACGTGTTTTGCGTAAACTTTGAATATCTTTGAAATGCCGCCATGCGTAATCTTCCAACAATGAATCGACGTCGATATGATTTTGCGCCATTTTATTTAATCAATATTAGCAAAACACTATTTTAATTATACTGCAATGCTAAGCAGTGTATGTCAACCATTTTATATAATAATAAATTTTAACACGTCGACAACACGGAGCGTATTACACGTACGTTATCGTACAAACACCAATTTATTGTATCAATCTGATTACATACATATAAAATAAAACTCATACATTAATCCTGCAATATTTTACAACATAAAAACAGCTATTTCACACAGCACTATTTAATTTTGACTTTTAACGGTCGTAGTAATGCACTTCACGTATTTACGTATGTTACTGACGCAACGATAAGCTGCTAGGAACAAATTTTAATAGTTGAGTAAAACAAAAATTTCATCATCAAAGTTCATTAGGATTTCACATTATACACAAGATATGACGTGACGTATGCTACAAAATTGTAAGCGTAGAATTTGATGTACTGGTAATAAGATAGATTCGACATCCACATATCATATTTTTCTACTGATTAAAATCACATCAAAAAGAAATGAAAGACTTAGCACTTCATTTAACCCTATCAGTTAATATTGAATGATATAAATTGCTTGCGACAAATTTGACGAAATTAACAGTTAACCGTATGTATTGCTAAAAGTTTAAACTTTAATTAAAGACTTTTAGATCAAGTTGGATTAAATCGGATCAAGTCTAATTTTGATCGTAATATGTGGAATGAGATTGTCAGAGCAATAGCAACAACAGCAACAGACAGGAACTAAATGTGCATAAGGAGGAGGAGAAATAGAAAGAAGAGGAGGAGGTCTGGTGGATAGCTCATAGATTGTTTTTCATGAAGTCTTCGTCGCTGTCACTTGTCGTTGATGTTGAGCTCCGCCTATGGTGAAATATTCTCCGTCTCCGGTTGGGTTCCATCAAACGGATGAAAAGCAATCGCTCTTTTGTTGCAATTTCAGATTTTAAAACTGAAATGAATAATGATGATCCATTTTTTGCTAACTAACTGGGGGATTTTCATTGTTTACTGGAAAATATTCGCTGAAAACGGAAAATAGCAAATCAGTGGTTATATTTGTGAAATCAGGAAGATTTCAAACGGAAAGTTTTACTTATCGACGATATTCGAAAATGGATAGGAATAATTCCGATAATTGATATTATCACGTTGGATTAAAAGTTAGTTACGATTATTTAAATTTGCAGAATTAACATTTATCGTATATCGCTGTTACTTTAAAGTGGAAGTGAACTTCTGATAGAAACAATTGTATATTTATTGAAATAATATATATATATTTACAGGAAATAGAAACTTCTCGAATTATAGTTAATTATTTAAGCGTTTTGTAAATAAATTAATTAATATATTATTGTTTTTAATCATTTTTATAATAATAAGCTAAAAATAAAAGTTTCCAAGTCGAAATAAATTCGTAGTTTTAATAAACTCAGATAGAAATCATTCAAAATTTTTTAATGTTTTTTAATAGCTAATTGTTTCAAAAATTTCTCCAAATGTTCCGCTTTTCTGATTCATTGCTCTTCCTGATTGATGAAAAATCAGGATTTGTGATCTGATTCAGTAAATTAACAAATTGACCTTTCTGTCTCTTTGATCTTCACCTTCTGAGCGAGGAAGAAATTCTTCGCAAATTTTAAAGAGAAGAAAATTTGTTTTGTAGAATGAGCAGCACTATATTGACCGATGAATGTTTAATGCTTAATTAACACGTGAGGGCATTGCGTAAATTACAATAGAATCGACGGATCTGTCACTATTCTTTGATCTAAATTAATTATAATAACCTTGTAATCAATATGCTAAAATTCCACCCAAAATTGTACCAATTTCTAAATAATCCATACAATATTTGAAATTCATTGAAGCAAATTTTATTGCTAATATTTTTAAAGCTTTTCAAAATTCCTCAACTGATATGTTATCATGAAAACTGATAGTTAGTCAGTACCGTATGCCGTCAATAATTTTGTTTATTTTTTCATTGGGATAAAAAGAGTGGGAGAAAATTGAATGGAAATACTAGTGAATAACCGTATCAGTTATAATCTACCGGATAATGACATCATCGTTTCCTGAAATATTACAATGACTCATCAAAGGTATCGAGATGAATTTCCAATTTATTTTTATTTGTAATTCAATATCCTATAAAATTTATATAGTTTTTATGTAGTTGAGAAAAATTTCAACAAATCTATGAGCGCAACCTTCTCCAGAAAATTAAATCACTGAAGATTACTGTAAGCAAAATCACTTACTGTATTTCAAGTCACGGTATTCCAATTTTCTTCCAGTAGTATTTTGTTTGTTGAACCTTTCGATTCCACTGTCATTAACCACACGAATGTTTTTAACTTTAGGTTAGAAAAAAATGCTAGCTCTGTACGTTATGGAAAGTCAAACTAATTGGAAACTACCAGATTTATGGAAAAGTATAATTTTCAGGAGTAACGTCCAGCACGCATTCCGATAGAATGCCAGCAATTAAAAAAAACTTCGAATATTTTCAAAATTTAAGATTTATTCCGTTTATTGTTTCCTTTCTTCATTTTAAATGGGAGTCTAATATCCGGAGCTACGCTGACCCTTATTCATTCCGCTTATTCCGCTTCGCTAACTCATATACTAGAAAAAATTCAGTAGCGATTTTTCGCTCCGGCTGTGGTTTCTGTGAGCGAATTCCGGAAATTTCTTAAGACACGTCGATTTTCGAATTAATTCTATAATCCCCGAGTAAAGTATAAAAAATAAAAAATAAAGGAATCAACTTTGTAATAAAACCACAACTACCACAACTACCTGAGAACAGCCAGTTTGTTAATATGCACCGAGAATGAAATTATACAAAATTTTCTTCCAGCGAACACGGAAAATTTTGATTTATGTGTGATAATCTACTCTAAATATCAAGTATCAATCATCATAGGGCGAGATTCAGTCATGCAGTATCTTGTCTTCACAAAAAATGATTATACTGAATACCATTCAAGATGATCACACGAGAGATTCGTTTTTCTGTCCTCACTGTTAATCATTCGTATAATTTCAATTTAATCCTCTTCCAACTGAAAACCGTTGACCCAGGAACCTATTTAATATAAGATTTAAATTTCATTTCAAAAACTTTCTCAAACTACTCACGAGCTTCTATTTTGCGGAAATTTATGCCAAAACATACTTAATGATCAGTATTTATTATATAAGGTCTGTTGAATCACATATTTCGCTAATCATACAAATCCAACATTATAGAAAGATGGAAAGAAAGATAACGAACAGTAAAGAAAACAAAAATAATACCAGAAAAATCACCAATTGGCAATACACAATTTACAAGAATGCCTAGAGCGCGCTGCATGTTTGACAAAAATTTCATCTAAAATTTAATTCGTACACTAATAACGACAACTTCAAAGAGAAAAGCTAGAATAATACGAAAAATAATGCTATCCTACGATATCTGCCGTAAAAAAATATGAGTTCAATTATAAATAGGGCTCAACTTCTAAAAACCTCAGAAAATTCCAAGAAGTAGTACACAAATATCATTCACCAAAATTTCTATTCCGGATTCGTTTTTCTGCTAAGAAGGAGGATATCTGCATTATACAGATTTCGAGTCTTCTGTAATTTTTTATGCGTACCATTTACGAAATATTTTAGCCCTTTCAGAACAGTTTCCGGAACCGTTATATCTATTTGTTTGATCTATTTCATTTCTCTTCAATCGGAATAAAATGAAAGCCTTGTTAGCTTTTGAAAAAGATTTTCAATAAGGTGACAGTAATATAATGAATGACGAATCATTAAATTTAAGGTAGATGATAATCAAAACATCGCAGATTAGAAGCTCTTCAATTTTTCTTTTGAGAAGGCTCATCAACGATGATCGGTGATATAATAATGAGTAAATTTAAACAAAAGTTTGAAATTCAAACACGAAAATGATTATCATTTCTAACTTTTTGTCATAATTTTCGAGCGCATATTCGCGGAAACCATCCTCTAATTATTTTTTCTTTTCCTGGCTCCGCTGTTTTCTGCTCATTCAATAAGATACCATAAAGCCAATGTTTACTAATTCGAGTTACCATCCAATGTTCACCAACCTGCAAAATTTTCTTCGCAGAATAAAAAAGTCGTAATTGTGATAGCAATAGCAAATCCTAACGTTCACATACAAATTTGATTCCAAAATTTAAAATTTTTGCATGCTGCAAATTGAAGTGAAAGTTAAGGAATATATGATAAATTGCAAGCAGCAAGTGAAGTGAAAATGAAGGAAATTAAGATTTACCCTCACTAGTTGTCGTGTTTCATCTGACCACGGTTGACAATACCAAATAGAAATGCCAAATTTAAGTGACGAACAATAACCACCTGAGAAATTCCGTATAATTTCAACTTCATGAGCATTATCTCGCTTGTATTTCTTTTGCAACAATTGCTCTTCCTCAAATATTTATGCAAAATGATCAGAGCAATAAATTTCATTGCTTGCATTTAATAATACAAAAAAGAAAGAAAAATTAAGTTGAAAGAGTAAAGATGCTATTAGAATTTATGTTAATAAATTGAACATTCATGAATTATTTAAGAAAGTGTACACATAGCAGTTCTAAATGTGCAACAATTTTCATCAATGAAAATAATTTACTTTTTTAGTATAACAACAGAAGGTTACTTTTTTCCTTTTTTTTAACGAAATGAACGCTTTAAATCGAGCAAGTAATTAATTAAAATGGGCTCTTTCAAAAAAAAAAAAGTTAATTATTTCTTTTGGACAAATTGATGAATGCATTTTTGCATAAGTGTGTATTTACGAACTGAAGGATGTCCCATCATACTATCACCACCGCCAACAACAACCAACCAAACTACTATACAACAACAATAATCTTCTAAATGGCTCACATTAAAGGCTTATTGTGACAAAAGTGTCTCACACTTCAAAAGAAACATTAAGGACAGTCAATGTCTCTATCGTCGCCGCACATGCGGATATTAAATAATGCTCAAATGTATCGTCAAGTTAAACTGTCTCTTGAATTTCGACGATGAAATGGGGACTTAAAAATTTCCTATAATATATTAAGAAAAAAGAATAACACTTTTTATCTAACAGCAATATTAAATGAAAAATACGTTTTCCCTAATAAGTCGTGGGTAATTTCTACTATTCTTTTTATTTTGAATATTAGCTAGAAATTACATCTCTTTTCTAAGAAATTTTTTTCTATCTCGAAAAATTTTATTAGTTTTTTCTCTTAATTTAAGGAAAATGGAAATGGAGTTATAGTTGCTGTAGTTAGATGCACAAAGTAAACCACAATCAAAAAATTAAATAACAAATAATACAGATAACATGTAACATGCAGTTTCATTCTTGTAATTTCGCTAAAAATTATTGTGCCTTTAGATAACGAACCGAAAGTGTAAACTGTGTAGTTGGATGTATGATTGGCCACCAAATTCCATTTCCTTTTGGTATACCATCCCATGTTAATAAAACATCGGATATATTACGACGCCAACCCAAATCGTAAGGATAGATAAATGCAGTATTTCGTTCACGTGCGTTTGCTTTATCAACTGCAGTGAGTATAAATGCCCAAAATACTTGATGTTGGAATTTTTAATTTAATATTAAAAGTAATTGAAAGTAGTGGATAAGAATTACTAAGCAAATACGGAATATGTGTTATAAAATTATACTTTTACTTGGATGTTATCTAACCGCAAATTGCATCTCAAATTTGTGTGTTTAAGGTGCCCTCGTCTGTAATTAAAATACATTAGTAGACTTCGCAAATATAATTTTCCTGATTATAAAAAGCAATTAAATGTTGTCGAAAAAAATTTCGGAAAACAAATATTACCGATATAATCTTCAATACCCGTACGATTCCGAATTATCCCTCGAATCTGTATGCCTAATAAAAAACCGACTGAAATTATGACACCCAGTGAAAGACCAAATGCAAATATGACAAAAATAAATGAATATAATGATAAAGCAATGAATTCATTGCTACTACCGTAACTGAAATACCACACCTGAAATTGTGAGAACTTCCTCATTTTAAAAAATTTAATGACAAAAATAATTTCCAAAATCAGAATGGACGAAAATGATAATTTTGTGAATATCATGCCTTTTCTATATCCCATCTGGTATTTTAAATATATGGAATCATGCATTGATATTTTAAATATATGCTAAAACTAGGACTACCTGATTGAAATGATGTTTAATTAAGAATTCTGTACTCAAAAGAATGCAAATTTGACTTCATACATCTTTAAATATTTTAACTACGAAAGCAGGAAAAATATAAAACAGTGAATGGTTCTCAAATTAAGTTCAAGACTCCAGAACAGGAATAGATCCTAAATCACATATCATGATTAGTACCCAAGCAGAAGCGAGAAACGGAGTGATGGTCAGTGCTTCAATATAAGTTACTGCAGTATGGGAAAATATGATAACTAATAAGCTCTGCTAATAAGGAATGAATCATTTCTAGTTGTCCAAAATAATTCTTTGGTAAATTACATTTGCACAAACAAAAAAGCAATGTGACCACAATACGGATAAGGTAAAAGGAGGGGGAAGACAAATTATGCAAACAAACCGATGCAAATACTCATCAGTATGTTCTGCAAGAATATGAGAAAAGAATGTGAAAATTACCCGGAATAAAAAGCGATATAAAGCTAAAGATAAAATTATAGCAGCGTGAATACAACCAAGTGTTGCCGAGGCAAGAAAACGCACAAATAGCGCATGATTTCGGTGTCCAACGCAGTTATTTATCCAAGCTAAAAGTATGATCTATCGAATAAAAAGAGATTGGAGGAACAACAGTTTAACTTAACCAATCAATCAAAGCAAGCTACTGTTTAACTTTAAGTTTAAGACAGCGCAAACAATCTCTTTGTTTTTAAAATTGACGCATTTTTGAACACAGTTCACCTCTCCTCCAAAACTGTTTTTATCTCTAAATTTTCATAGCTTAGTATGCCGTATTTCTTCCAAATATAATTAAACTTACGGCAATGATGATCCATTTTGCAAACACAGCGACCACATTTCGAGCAGTGATGCGAACGAGGCATCTTAAAACCTTCACACATTCGACAATATTGTAATCGATCTTCATCCTCCTACAATTATTAAACTGAATTCTTGCAAATTTTACCCTACCACTGTCAAATGTTGCCAACAGAATCGCTTTATAGTGACGACACGATGACAGCTGCACTTAAATCTCAAGGAAAGTCGGCTCATAATTCCAGCTTTTTCTATAATGTGCTCATTTAAAATGATGAGGGTGGTGAATAATATGATAAACTGTACTGAAAATAATGCATACCTTTCTCGGTGGTTTCCAGTTGTATGGAGCATATCCTGGACCAAAGAATGACGATCTACTAAGATTAATTAAAGTCAAGTAATTGAATAGTAAGAAAAGTGAAAGATGCAAGAATGAAGTTATTGAAGTTAAAGGCCACCACTGCAAATGCACATATGTCGTAGCAGTTCCAATCTGAAAAATTTGAATTTTCGTGTAATCAACATGTAATCAACAAAAAAATTGGAAAGTTAGCAAAACTGAAATTCTTTCCCAATTTAAAAACAAAGAGGAGAGAACACTACCATGACATAATTTTACTATATCTTCATGAATCATAACAGAAACGATGATTCAAACATACAATTAATGTTATGCAAATCACTGCTAGTGGACCCCAGTGGAACAGCCTTTGAACCATCGTTTTTCCCAAATCTCTCTTTGTATCAAAAGTACCGTCACTATCCCAATCTGGAGCTTCGATAATTTGATCTAAAAAGAACAAATCACGTTAAAACAAGTATAAGTTGTATAAAAATAATCAAAAAGACTATCACAAATGAATATAAGTTTTCAGTAGAAATTACTGAAAAAAAATTTGCGCAAGAAAAACCGACAATTTTTTCAGTACAATCATGAAAATTTTGAATGGATGAAAAATAACATAATATCCCATTTAAATCATTTATTGCTTCAAAATTCACAACCAAATGACGAGATTGAATTGAAACCTCATCGGATCAAAATCCGGAATATATTTTTAGAGCAGGAAAAGATCTATATGTTCTTAATTTCGATACTTTGATGTGAAAAAGTTATATAAACTTACATTCAGCCGTGGGCAAATTCACATAACCATCACTACAAGTCTCTAATTTATGGTTATTCAGTTTTCGATGCTTTAAATCCATCAGTGATTGTGTATGAGATCGTTTTTATCCACCTAAAATCAAACATCAATAATCTATAAAATTTATCCCTTAATTTCTCGTTTTTCCTTTTCCTTTAGATAAGTGGATGAAAAATGTCTAATGCTTGTAGTAAGCAGCTGGTTAATCTCAATAAAGCATGAATATTGAAGGTTAAACATAAATGTTGCATGTATTTGTCACGTAACACGTAAAATACTACACAGAAGACAAATCTCTTTTTTTACTCGCTTATATTTAATATATAACAAAAAAACAGCGTGGATTTTTTGCATAAAATGTTATGTTATATTTATGGGCGTTAATGAAAATACTATATATGAAAAAAGATACCTTCTTTCTTCGATCCTATCTGAGAAAAACAAAGAACTCCACAAGTAACATCATCTTGCATCTTCCATCTTCTGAAGTTTCAAAAATGTCGAAATACAACCATCGGTACACACCGATAAACACTCTCTGGACCGGTCGGGTATTTCACAGTTGGCCGCTGTAAATTTTGATAACATTCAATGATTCAAGAGTTGAGGGAATTCTCAATAAGGGTCACTTCTAGAAAGTCTCAGGTAGTAAAAGATTCAGATGGATGCAGAATCGTCGTGCTAATCAATAATATCAATCATTGAGCATTTTCTTTTTCAAATAATGAGGAAAAGTTTATTGTACAAGATATTCTGTGACTTCTTTAGAAGAGATATTTCATTTCCGCCAAACAAAAACAGTATTAACTTATATTAAATATTCACATAACGTGTTAGCCATATTTATAGTTGATAGTTTAAATATAAGTTGTTGCATTGTTACCAACCCTTTTAACTGTGATAATAATTGATAGTAAAAATTCACGTCTTATCAATCATTTGCTTGAATTTTTGCATGAATTTGTGTTATCGAACTGTCATTAGTGTGATGAATGAAAATATCGATGATACAATAAAATGAAATCAACTGATAAGGAATTTGATCAAATCATTTATTGGCATTTTTCATTGGAACCATTGAATGTCTATAATTTATTTGATTTTACTTGAATAGATGCTATTTTGATTAACTTAATCAGTTAATTAAGTTAATCAAGTTAATTAAGTTCCTGGCTTTGTTGCTCATTAATATTAAAAGTGGTTGTTTTTAATATTAATTTAAAAATCTATGGTTACATCCTTTTTGATTTCCATTTGAATTTTTTAGACGTTTGTCTTTTTCGATAATCGTAAAACTATTTCATTTCTGTTATTAATCATATTTCTTAACAATTCGTATATTTATTCCTCATTTGTTTATTTTCTTGAATGATTAATTAATTAACAAATAATAATAAATAAACAATACCTTTCTCTCTCTTCTTTTTTTCTCTCTCCAAACATATTTCTTTTATTATTTGCGTATGAAAAATGCGTGTAATACATATTTCTTTTATTCAATTATTTCATACATACATGTAAACAAGCATGAACATATTATGTATGCACAATTTATAGTACGATGAAATGAAAACAGTTAGTATTAAATTTTTGATTAATATTGAATGAACCTTCCAAAGAGATTAGTTTCAAAAACAAAACTAAAAGTGAAAGAGAAGAGGAAGAAAAATGGGATCGATCGGAGCTATCGGTAATTATAGATTGGACAGTTTTCGATATATCGACCTATGTTCAGTCTTTCTCAATATATCGATTATGTTCACATATCGTAAATTATTTGATTGATAAAATCCAATTTACTATTAGATTTTATTAATCATCACATTAATATTGATAATGAATTAAAATGTACTTTATAGTATAAAAATTGATTCCAACAATAGTTTGATTTTAAGTTTAAAAATTTTAAAATTTCAAGGAATCTTAAATTTGGTGAAAAATTTTGCAATTTAGGTTGGATTTATTAATCTTTTCCGATCGACATGATATGACAGCATATGCATATACAAAGAGATGGTTAACTACTTCTCGAATTACTTATTTTAATTCTACTTCATTCACGATGAGAATGATAATTGAAGAAGTTATTATCATGATTTATCACTCTGTAACATTATTGATGATAATGCATGAATGTTTATCAGAGTAATATCTTATCCTTGGAAATTTGGGAATATTTTCTAAAATTCCATTGGAATCTAGCATAGTTTGCTGCCAAAGTATGTCTCATACCTGTCGAAAAGTATTTTAATTATCAAAATTTGGAAAAAAAAAGGAAATAATCTTTTTATGTAAATTTTTCTCACTTTAATTTCTTTTCGTATTTTAGTTTTTAAATTGCCCTTTAACTGATAATTTCAGGATCTTAAAAAGATCAAAGGGAACCATTAAAATCTTTAAATTTGAAATAGTTGAAGTATAGTTTAAAAATTTAGAAGAACCAATTTGTAAACTGTTCCATTTCTTTTCACGCTTGGTAAATTTCTATCTTTTTCCTAAATTCTAAAAACCAAAAACAGGAAATCTAATATTGCTTGGATCCGGAAACATTTTCCGAATTAAATAATCAAATAATTGTATGTATTTTTATATGATATTTAAAAATATTTGAAATAGAATGTTCTTTTGAATTTCACAAACAATTGTATAGAAAAAAAGAGTATGCAAATTTTTTTTCAATTCAAAAATTTAATTCAAAAGATTTAACTGAACTTTTTCGGCAAAGATTTTCTGTATTCCCTCATTTACTGCGAATTTTTTTTATTAGGAATTTAAAAAATTCGGAATTCAATCAGGAAATGATAGAATAATTCAACCATGAAATTCCGGAATGTCTTCTTTAACAAGCGAGACAGGAAAATTCAATCATTACATTAATGGGGCAGGAAAATTCAATCACTACATTAACAGGGCAGGAAAATTCACTAATTACATTATAGATATCTCACTATTTTTTGTCCATCCGAAAATGTATATTTTCAGGTAGTGCTTGCTGTACAAAGCATGCTGCAAAAGTAAAATAGTATTTGGTGCATTATACTATCCGGAAAAGTATACCGATCCGAAACGGTGAAAAGCCTAAAATTAACGAAAAAGCAACAATAATCTAATAAAAATATGTTACATCCACACCAACAAGCATGCATTTAAATCCCAATTTTCTTGCTATTTGAATATCGGAAAAAGTTGAAGTTTTTGAATCTTAAATGAATTCTTCAAATTAATTAAAATAAATATTTGATTCTTACTAATGAAAAATTAAATATACCATTCAAAATAGTTATTTCAAGTAGCAACTTTCTGACTTGTAACTCTAATTAGCCTTAATGAATTGCAATAATAAAGCTAAGCCAAGATTTTTATGTCATCCCTTTCTAACCTGTAACTCTAATTAGCCTTAATGAATTGCAATAATAAAGCTAAGCCAAGATTTTTATGTCATCCCTTTCTAACCTGTAACTCTAATTAGCCTCAATAAATTGCAACAATAAAGCCAAGCCAAGATTTTTATGTCATCCCTTTCTAACTTGTAACTCTAATTAGCCTTAATAAATTGCAATAATAAAGCTAAGCCAAGATTTTTATGTCATCCCTTTCTAACCTGTAACTCTAATTAGCCTTAATGAATTGCAATAATAAAGCTAAGCCAAGATTTTTATGTCATCCATCCATAAGTTAGACTTTTCATTTGTTTTAGATAAATGTACGCAAGCAAACAAAACACACACACCAAATTATTTTACTTCAACAGAAATTAAAATTAAAATAAATCAAAGTTAATTTTTTTGTTCCTTTCTTTAAAACCGGAAAAAAAGAAACGGAAAAAAGGAAATCAGAATAGAACGATGATATCATATAAAGCAAAGCAGTGTATCGGAAATTATTTGAATTAAAAAATGATTTTTCAAATATGACAATATTATTTTATGTGGCGTTTATGTGAATTAAATTAACGATACAATGAAAAAAAATTAGTTTAAGATATTAATTAATTAATTAATTAATTACTTAATATATTATAATCGGTAATTGAAAAGAATAAATGATAAGTTATTTATTATCCAATGCATCCTGTCTAATATATATATATATATATATGTATTTGATTAATAAAGATTGCGTAGGTGATAATAAAAAGAAATTTTATCAAGACTATGAAGAAATAAAATGGATATTGATGATAGATTATATCAGAATTAATGATTAACATTTTTTTTTTAACAGTTACTTATAATTAAATAATGATAATTTTAATTGAGAATTGTTGGCGCTGTTATTTTTATAAAGATTTTAACTGACAGTATGACTTGAGCGTTGAATATGCGTCGCACGTTCCTGAAATTACGACAAAAGTTTTATTTTCTTTAAATAATTATGTATGGAATGAAATGATCTAATTGTTGTATTGCAATTTCAATTCAAAAAATTATTTAAATATAAATCTAATCAAATCATTTAATTTTGGGTACATATAATCAATCAAATTTCATACTTTAATAATTGAGTTTAAGTTAATATTTATCATTCAATTGGTTGAACCTTATTTGCTTAACCTTTTTGTATGTTATTCAGCTTAATTAATTAATTGTTTCATTTAATCAATCAAAACAGATCACCTCTCCTTCTTTATTGAAGAGAACAGTTTGCACATTAGAACCAATTCCAAAAGAGTCTTCTGCATCAAAGACCAATTGATCCGGCGGACTATGCACTCCTTGGCCACGAGCCCAAATCTATAATTAATACATTTTTCGACAATGAGGTTTTCCGCTTGATGTTTTCATTAAAATAAAATGATATCATTGAGGTTACTCATTGAGTTTCGTTCAGATATTGTATCACATTTATTACTGTAATTTTATTATTCCAAAACGTAAATTATCATATTTTAGGAATCGGAAGAAAATTCTGGATTAATGAAACAAAAAAGAAAAGTTACCTTGACCGATTTTCCAGGTTTCAAAACAAAATCCTTTGGAAAGGTATATACGATTTCCCGTTTTCCATCAATCTTCCTCTTCAATTTCCAATCACCAATTGCTTCTTCCTTAGAACGATGCGTATTCTCCAGTAAGATATATTTACCGTCTGATGAAGCATCCTGAAATTTCATACCTAATATCGAAATTTCTGAAATTTTAAATTCAGTTAATTTCAGCTTATAACTACGAACTGTATATAGTAATTTATCCATTCTTATTTGTATAAATTAAAAACAAAATTTCACTTGGAAAATATTTGAAAATTTTTACAATAATTAAAATAAAAGGAACCTGTATGGAAACGTTGCCTTTAGCAGAACGTTGAAATGACGTACGACTAGCTGTTTCACCTTTCAGTACACGAATACTCTCTTAAAACAAAGAAGAAAAGATTAAATTTGAAATTTGCTTCTTATTCTTTCACGTTCTATAAGTTAGAAATCTGAATAATTAAGCATCATTAAAATTTTAATTTAATTTTAAAATTTATAAGAAAATGTCAAAGGTCAGAAAATATTATGAATTAGTCAAAAAAAAGATTTTATGAATGTAATTAATAGAATTAAATTGGTAAATCTTTAATATTATAATTACGCTAATTAAGTTATCTAAAAGTTTATTAGCTCTAATTGGGGAAGAAGCAGAAAGAAAAATATTACCAGGTGGAAATCTGGAAAGAGACATTTTCTTTGAGAGAAAAAAATTTTTTTGAACGATGGAAAAATTTCCACTGAATGTTATCAATGAATAATTCAAGTTGGAAATGTTTGTTAATTAGAGAACAAATAAAAAAGGAAGGAAAAAAAGTGGAAACAATTTTAGCAATTAATTATTATATTTTAAAACAATTAAAATATTCCCTTTCCTTTCATTTTTTCCCTCACAATTTAACAAATTTTCGAATTATACCTTAACTTCAATGTAATTAATCATTCTATGTTTCAATTAAATTCTGATAAAATTAAACTTTCAATTTAAAAAAAAAATTTCAAATTAAAAATATTATTTGTAATAAATTATATTTTTTAATTTGTTGTTAACAAAAGCAAATAATATTATTATTTTTAATTTGTAATAATATTTTTTCAAATTATATTTTTAGATATTTTTGATGTTTTTAATATTTTTAATTATTTGAAATTTTTTCCATCGAAAGTTTTCACATTAAAAATTTTGAAGAAATTTCAGATATTAAATGAACCGTTCTTTTACAAAAATTTAAATTAATGTTTAGAAAAGATAGCAAATGAAGGATTGTATTATAAAAATTTTAATTTCTGCCTTAAAGAAGGATTTTTATTGAAAATAGTTTTTTAAATTTTAATTGTAATTTATTAATTCAACTATGAATGTATAAAGTTTCAAAATGTTTGCAACTGCGAAAGTTTCAAAATGTTTGCAACTGCATTTCCAAAATGTTTGCAACTTGTGGTGTACGAAAAGGTAACCATTACTACAATATCCTCATATTCCTGTGAACTGATAATTAACCGAAATGATACGGAATTTTAATCATTTATCATGGCATTTCAGGTCTAATATATATGCCGGAAATGTATTTTAATAAAACCGAAAAATTTCACGAAAATTACTTCAATTTTAAATAATTCTGACCAACAAATTGCAACTACTAATAAATAATTTTTTCAAGTTTAATTAAAAATTTCAACCAAAACAGAAAAAAAATTAATTTTTGTAATTTTCGGTTAAAAATTTGCTTAGTCATAAAATTTGACAGTAATAAATGACAGTGAAAAATCATTAAGAATGATAATGTAATGTAACGAAGATGTGATAGATAGAAAAAGTAGAAAAGTTAATTTACCGGTTTCGCCAACTTCGGTAAGGCCATGAGTTTTAACAACTTGTTCAACAAGTTGACGTAATCCGGCACGATTCTCCTCACCTTCAAGCATTTTTCGATAAATTGCTATTTCAGCATCCAATGTCTGAAAAGGAAAATTTTACATAAAATTAGCAATGAAATGAATTTTTGAATCATTTTAATTTCTTTTTTCTATATACTCTAAAATTTTAAACAATAAAAAAAGAAATGAATAATTAATTTTGTGCCTTCACATTTTAACGTAATTAATAAATTTTCGGAAGACAAAACTTTTTTGTGCGAAAGTTTAAAATGATCTATGCTCCATTCTATAATAGTGTAATTAAAACAAAATTATTACCTTAGACTTTTTATAGTGTACTAAGTTTAAGTTAGACACTTAGCACTTCAAACAATATTATTTTTTTTCAACTATAAGATAAAATAATCACTATCTATTCATAAATAATGATTTTATCAGTAGTAAACTGATTACAGGTAATATATGATCAATGTATTAATGTAAACTGATTACAGGTAATATATGATTAATGTATAATCATTATATATCTTATCAACAGTCAAAGAGAAACTGATATTTTTAGAGACTTTCATTCCTTCATTCAAAACCCCTCATTCCTGGTCAAACTTTTCAATTTACAACATTTCCACTGAATATATATATATATTTGATTTTTGATTAACAAACTTGTTTGGTATCTAAAAGCATTTGCAATTCCATCATTAGCGCTTGACATTCTTCGCGCATTTTCCGGATTTGAGCATCACGATCATTCAAGGCAGCTTCATAGGATCGTTGATCATCTTCTAGTTGATAATTCAATTCTTGCATTTGCTTCTCTAGCAGTGAATTCTACAATTCACATTTCTTTTTGTAAATCATTTAAATTTCATCTATGGCCATTTATATCATTAATAAATGATATTTTCAAAATTATAAAAATATTTTTTAAAAAAAATAATTTTACAATTTTAATTAAATTTTGATTTTAATAAATATCATGCGAAATTTTCATCAAAAATAAAATATTTTAAGCAGTTTTATTTAAAATTTCAACTTATTCCAAATCTTTCATTTCTCCCAATTTCTTTTACAATTAATTAACTTATAAGTTAATTAACTCAAAATCATACCTATTAAACTTAAATTTAAATTTTTAGAAATTGTCTAAATCAGAAAAGAAGTGAAATTTGACAAAGAGCAATAAATTCTCTGTTTTTTCTTTCTCTCTAACAAAATTTACTTTTTTCTTCTTTCGAAGAAGCAAAGATTGAATTCTAAGCAAAAGGTTATCATTAACATCAGAATTTAAGAAATAGAAGAATGATACTTACACGTCCTTCAAGATCGGCTAATTTTCCGCGAAGGTCGGAAAGTTGTACACGAAGTCGCTTTACCTCCTCCTTAGCATAACCTTGTTCCAAATTCTGTCTCGTTGATTGGGTTTGAATTTCTTGAACTTTTAATTTATACCACGATTCCATATCTGTTCGATTCATATTGCATATCTATTAAAAATAAAAAATTTAATTTAAATCATCTTATATTTTAAATGCAATAAATGAGAGATATGAAAAATAAATTAATTGCTTATTGAAAGATTAGCTTTTTAAAAGAAAATTCAAATCAATAAGAAGTATGAAATTACGGCATACTTGATCATATTCAGCACGAATATCGCGAATTGCTGATGAAAGTTCACTTTTGAAATATTCACGATTTTCCGGTGTTGTATCACGTGCAGCTATAGCTTGTAATTCATTAATTTCCTGATCATGCACACGTCGCATGAAATCAATTTCTTCTAATAGCGTTTGCAACTGATTTTGAAAATCAATCCGATTAAGAGTTTCTTGATCCAAATCCTAAAAAAAAATTCACAAACTTAGGAAATATTTGTTTGGTTAACTTTCAATTAGCAATTTCTGGATATTTGTCAGTAACTGATTTTGTATGGAAGAGGTCAAATCTTTTGAAAGTTTTAAATTAATTAACCAAATGATTAGCAATAAATCATCCAAAGCCATGTTGTACGATTTAAAAAAGAAAAATTTTTTTTATTATTAAAACTTCAAAATAACATATAAAATCAAAATTAGCAAGAAAAGCAGGAATTTAGGTCGAAGTTCAAAAGTGCTCAAATAACAATACTTTTAGATGCAACACAAACTTTACTAACCGATCTTGCCTTATTGAGTTCATTGACAAAATACAAGTTGTCTCTTTTAATACGGCTTACTTCCTCTTCCAAATTACTGACCCGACGTCGTAAAAGGTTAATTTCGGCTTCCAAATTTGATAATGTTACCTAAATTTTTGTTTCGTTAAAGCAATAATCACTAATTATTAATAATTATTTGTTAAAGAGAAATGGCGATCAATGATAATAATTATTAAAGCATAATTATTCTCACTAATTATTTGAACTAATAATAGATGATGATAATAATTTCCAGCAATTTAAATAGAGCAATGGAAAAGAATGAAATTTAATGATAATAAAGGATTAACTAACATAACTACAATGGCTATTTATTACTGATATGTATTCTTTTCCTTCCTCATATTGTCATCATTTCACCTTTTATTTTGCTTATTTTTCTATCTTTATCTAATATTAAAATATTTGCAAGATTGAGCAAATATTCGATTTGATAAGATTGATAATGCTTGCAAAAAAAGTGAAATGAACATTATGTGTAAATCATTATCATCGTTATCATCATTATCATCATCATTAAATCTGAAAATACGGAACTCACCAATAACTCATCAATACTTTCCCGATCAGTTTGATGTGCTTTAAGTGCACTTTCATATCTGTAAATTGAGAAAAACGTTTTTTCTGATAAAGAAATTAAGTGACATTTTTATATTTATATTAATTGACATTTTTATATTTATATTATATTATATTTTATATTAAATATATTTATATTATATATTATGAAATAATTATTGCATAATACCGTTTTCTATATTCCATTAAATCATCCATTAATTTCCGAATTCGTTTTTCTAAATCTTCGCGTTCGTTGTTCGTATCGTTTATTACTTTTCGTGCTTCCTAAATGAAAGAAATAAGCGATAGAATGATTGGTAATCCAAAAATGATTTCTTTCAACTAAGATAAATTATTTTGGAATTAGTCTGATAAGTAAGTAATGGAAGAATGATAATAAATTGTAATCAGAATTATTTATTTTTATTAGATTAATTATATTATCTTTGTCTTACAAATTTCAAATGCCATACCTGTAGTTCGCTTTCAAACATTGTGCGAACACTTACAGAATCTTTGCCCCAACGGCTACGTAATAAATTCAGATCGGCAGCCAATTTACGATTTTGCGCTTCAAGAAAACGCACCTGAAGAAAATTTTTGTTCACAATTTTGTTCATTTGCTTGCTTATTCATAGATTTGTTTGTTTGTTTATTTTGCAAAATCATTTATTTATTGGCCAATTTATTTGGCGCTTTGTTAACTTGGCTTATTATTTACTTGTTTACGTTGTTTATGTATGTTGAGCTATCAGAAATACCTTTTCGATGTAGGAAGCAAGACGATCGTTCAAATCGCTCATTTCCTTCTTTTCCCGCTCACGTGTGTCACGAATCGCTGACGCAGCATTTTGTCCGAACGGTGACATACCACTGCTATGTAGTGAGGATGAACCAATTTCTGTTACGGTTTTCAGAATTCTACTTCCGGATGCTTCAAATTACGAATAATGAACAATTTCAAAATTTATTTTCTAACAAAATTGATGTTGCAAAATTTTGTCCAGAATTTTGTAATGTGTTACGTGAAGCTAAGATATTTAGAAATACTGATAATTATGAATCCAATAGAATCATTCTTTAACGAAGATATATTATAATCCAGTTTGAATATACGAAAAAGTTGCAGAGTACAATAAACTTGCAAAATTAATTAGAATGAAACTTACATGTCGTCATACTGTAATTTGGACTGGACATAGGCCCAATAGTTCGACTGAAAGCTGGTCGAGCAGAAATCGTACTTTTATAATCCGAAACCGATACTTCCTCCATATCACTGAAAAAAATGATTTGCAAAATGATTTACGAAATATCAATTGAATTTTAATTAATACAATACATTCAATGAATATTAAACTTATCCTATCATACATTTATTATTCAATAAAGAGATTTGTGGGATTATGTCAAATTGACTTCCACTAATTAGTTAATTAATTAGTGGAAATCGAAAATGAAATTTATTAATTCTAAATGTTTCCAGAATAACAAATTTATTTTCTTTCGGTTTTTCGTTTCTTTCAATTTTAAGCGATAAAAGACGGAAATGTTTTCATTTCCTTTCCTTCTTCTTCCACACCTTTCCATCGACTGGTTCCAAATTTTCATTCATTTCTGATTGCTCATAAAAATTGTTTACATTCTCCATCATATGATAACTATCAACTATTTCTTGCTTTATCAAAATTTATCGTAATTAGATGAAAAACGACAGGCTTTCTTACTTCAACTAAGTTATACTACTTTTACATTATTTCTTTTACATACCATATATAACTTTACCTATTGGTCTTCAATATTTCACGTAACATGCTTGAAATTAAACAGCATAACCTCTAACTAATCTAATCCTAACAAATAATTGCATTATTATGCATATTGACGTAATTGACGTAACTGACGGATATATACTAATATATTAGAATGCGTGAAAGAGTAGAAAAATTGTGCATTTCAAATACAATGATAAAAATACTATTTCACAAAAAAATAAATTCTATTAAATTTAACTGCCAAAATCAATTGCCTATGATAATTGCATTTTTACTTTGCAATCGATTTTGTCCCCAAAATTTGGCAATAAGAAATTTTAGTTTGAGTTATAATTTATTTTTGTCCTATAATTTACTTTTATCCTATAATTTAAATAATTATAATTTATTTTTCTGAAATTTTTTTCATGTTACCGCCATTACCATCACTACACGGGTGTTAATTAATACAGTTAATTAGTATTGTAAAACTCGTTCATAGCTTACCTGATTTTCATTCTTACTTAATTTATCTAATTTATATACTTATCCGAATTTTCTCATCTATCTCTATTCCATCCAAGTCCATGTATCCGTAAAATACCTTTAACAATACTATTAAGAAATTTTTAAATGCCAGTGATATTTTTAGAAATATTGTTCAACTATTTGTCTGGCTAAGAGCAAAAAAAGAATTCAGGCCAAAAAATAAATTATAGTTCCAACTAAACTTTCTTATCATCGTCAAATTTTATTTTACAACATTTAAAATAATTTATCATTGCAATTAGTTCTTAATTAATATTATTGCAATTAATAATTCAGAAATAATAATTAAATTCTCTATGCTATATATAGAAACGATATGATATAAAATACTTATATATACAATGAGTATATAAATAAGGTAAGGAAGAAGATGTGACAAGAAAGATAACGGTTTATCAAATTTTCTACATGCAGCAGCTGATTGTTATCATATGATAGGAATGTAAACAACAAGAAATCAGAAATGAATGAAAATTAAGAATTAGTCGATGGAAAAGTGAAGTGCGGAAGACGAAGGAAAGGAAAAGAAAAACATTTCCATCTTTTAGCGTTTTCAAAAATTCGAAAGAAACAAAAGAAAAACGAAATTAGAAAAATAAATTTATTATCCTAAAAAAATTTTAAAATATTAAATTTCATCCATTCATAGCCATTCTAATATAATTTATTTCAACTTTTCATTAAATAATTAATTGTCTATTATTTATAGCAATTTAATTTATTGTTTTAGCTAAACTAATTTAATTCAACTTTTTACTACTTCGAGGAATTTTTTATGAAACGTTTTTAATTCGGTAAATTATTTAAATTTTATTTCAAAAAAAAAAACCCCGATACATATATTCTATTATTCATTGTTATCCTAATATGATCTTTATTTGGATGATTCATTCCACTAATTAATTGACTCACTAATTAATTGACTATGTATTACTAATTTAATTAATTATATTATTAGTAGCAATAATGTTTTC